TTATGGTTTTGTGGCAGAAGAATATTTGAAAGTGCCATTCTATCAAATGTTGGATGAACTAAGCGATTAATAATTGCCATGATCCATGAAAAATTAGTAATTTATCCTTATATGTTTTTCTTTCTAAGTCTATAATTTGTGTCAGATCATTGGTTTACAAACGATTGTTGATCTTGTGTTAATCCAAAACTAGGATAAAAGTAGTGTTGATTAGTAGTGGAGTGGCAATTAATCATATGCTGGAGACATCTTTCGCCTTACAATGGTTAGTGAAAATTGTTGGTAGTTGGTATGTTAAGCTAATCCTATGGCGGTATCCTGGTTTAATTTTCTTTCTGTTACTTGGCTATATGCAAATATGTGCCCGGTTTGCCTATATACATTCATGCTCATTTGTTTATTTTATTAGCAAAATTTTCTCTGAGATCTTGAGGATTGGCATGCTGATTATAGCAAATTAAGTTTATTTAGATGGTTCATGGATATAGCCTATCTTGAGAGGCTAGACTTCATCTTGATAGTGACTGTCTGTGGTACATGGAACTATTGGGTGATTTGTAAATTCAAGTTCAGTAGTATGTTGTTCATCTCTGATCAAATGTTAGGTTAAATGTGAAGATCTGATTATTGTTTCTGCATTTGTTACTGCCTTGTAGATAAAGAGAACCTCTGTTTATATGGGCTTCCAAATGAGACTTGGGAAGTCAACCTGCCTGTTGAGGAGGTGCCCCCTGAACTGCCCGAGCCTGCTCTTGGGATAAACTTTGCCCGTGATGGGATGCAAGAGAAGGACTGGTTATCACTTGTTGCAGTTCATAGTGACTCATGGCTGCTTTCAGTTGCGTTCTACTTTGGTGCACGATTTGGATTTGGTAAAAGTGAAAGGTAAATGTTTCCTACTGGATGTTGTCTGGTAAGATTAATGATGCTTTGGGTTATAAATGTGTCAAAAATAAATTTGGCTTGTTTTGAATATCCTGCTACTTGAAATTGACAGTTATACGATGATACGATCACAGGAGAAAAACAATGATTATATCCACATAGTTTTCTATTGCGGGTAGCAATATTGTTCTTGTTCATCGAGGGTTTTGGCAAATTACATGTCATACATTTGCTTTTCCTATAATTGCTGACAGAGTTTATTGTTTCCCACTAGACACTTGAATTAGCTACGGTTGAATTCAATATTTTACTCTTTCTCGAGCATTCTGTTCCATTTTTCATCTTTTGATGTTTTCTGTTCGAGCTACTCAGCGTTTTATTTTTCTTATGCTGATTCCTTTTCTCTTTAAGTGCTATACTGATGCCTGAGCCTTCAAACTATTTAAGATCATTTTCTTTTAAATCAAATTGTTGGTCGGGTATTCATTTTTTTTACAGGAAACGTCTTTTCCAGCTGATTAATGACCTTCCCACCGTGTTCGAAGTTGTTACAGGAGCTGTTAAGCACACGAAGGACCAAAACGGCAGCAGGAACAAATCTAGTAACAGAATGGTATATTCTGGTTTAGACGACCTCCGATTTAAGTTTCAATTACCCATGTTCTCTTGTGCTTGATTTTTCTATAATAATCTCTCTCTCTCTCAGCCTTCTCGTCAGCCTGAGTCTCAGCCCAAAGCAATTAAGATGGCAGCACCAAAGGATGAGGATGAGTCCGGGGGTGAGGAGGAAGAAGAGGACGACGAACAGGGGGCCACATGTGGGGCCTGTGGGGACAATTACGCCAATGATGAATTCTGGATTTGCTGTGATATTTGCGAGAGATGGTTCCATGGGAAATGCGTGAAGATAACGCCAGCGAAAGCCGAACATATCAAGCAATACAAATGCCCTACCTGCAGTAGCAAGAGGGCCAGGGTTTAATCAGGCCATATTGATATTAGGAAGTCGGGAAGAAGGCCGATCAAGGGTTTAGAACTGGTTTCGATCAAGGTTTTAGAACTGGTTAGTTTATAAATTGGAATATCGGGTGCAATACCGATCTGTTGAATTTGTGTAAACTTGTTGCTTAGACGTTGATCATCAATGTAGGACTCTAGATGTGTTTGTGGAAGGTGTTAAAAAACACTTATTTTCAGATTGGATTACGGAATGTTCGTCCTTTTTTTTTTTTTCGGTGCAAAGAA